TCATGATTGCTGTCAGTGTAGTCAGTAGGTGATCATTAGGTACAGGCAGTGTGCACACTGATTCTGATGAGGAATGTCTTCTCTTCTTAACTGCTCGGGGTCCCGAGCAATCAATGCTGCGTCATCGGGATACCGACGGTACAATGAACTCCTCTCGGGGAGGATGCAATAAATGCTCTGTATTAGGAACATTTATTGCTTTTCATTTCCGAGCCTTACCGCATTGAATGCAATCTCGTCAAGGGAATGGTGTAATTAATCGTTTGCTTTCCTAAGTCGCGTGTCAGCAACGACATGCGGTTTTTATGTTTTTGATGTGACATCATATGCCACGCGTCCATCCCCCATTGGCTGTGGCCCCTGCATTCCTGTACGTTCTGACACTAATTGTGTAAGACAAGGTCATGATGAATAGCCTAGGCTAATGACCTGCACGTCAATAGCTTATCCTGGAGCAGAGGAGGCGTCCAGGACGGGGTACCTCTCGGCATCGAGGAAAGGCTCATCTCGGAACCGAGGGAGGTATACCGACCGAGGTACAATATCAGACCGAGGCTACATGTCGGTTGTAAAACGTACTGAATGCCATGATCCCATATGACGAGTAACTCGGGAGCGAGGGACCTTTGTGAGCCGATGGTGCTTGATCTTAGCAACAGTGTTTTGGTAATACCGAGGACACGTGTCTTCATCATGGAGTATTTCAGAAAAGTCCCATCAACTGCCCCCCAGCCTTCGATCTTCTGACACCGAGGGCACGCGTCGTAAGGAGACGAAGGGTTTCCCAACAACCACAAATGCTTCATCATTGCCTCGAGCCGCTTTCCCCGGCTTAGGATGTCGTGTGCATTAAATGCGCCTTTTCGTTTTTTGCGCCCAATGATGAAACTGCCACTATATAAATGGGGTTCCTCTTGCATTTTCTTGTTTCGCCATTCCGAACTTCCTCAAGAGAGCCTTTTCCTGAATCTTCGCCAGAGATCTCTTTCCTCCCCCATCGTCAACTGCCCATTCTTCCTTAAAGTCTTAAGGCGAGCAGACCCATCGTTACTTCTGAACTTTCTGGAAGGAGTCGCCTAAAATTTTCCAGAAAAAACTCCGTTTGACATTCGGGTGAGTCCTAGTATCTTTCCTCTTCTCTTCCTCCTATCCCTTTTTGTTTTCCGATGACTGGAGGTGTCTCCGGTTGATACTTAGCGACTAATCCTCGGGAAGCTTCCTTAGGGATTTTTAAGGAAAAACACCCTCCACTTTCTCACTTTCTTAGAGATGCCTCGTCGTCGCCCTACTCTCGAGAATCCTCAGGCTGGTTCTTCGGGGTCGGAGAAGTATAAAGTAAAGGGTGGTGAGCAGATTAATATGTTTAAGGTCAAGTACAACATTCCCCCGTGCGTAGACATAGAGGATTATGACCCGGTGGTGCACTCTCCTACCCTCGGGGCCGAGGATGCTATGCCCTTTTATACCAAGGTCATAATAGAGGGCGGAATTAAGTTTCCTTTACTTCTCCAGTTCCTCTCTCACTTCCGCCTTTTCCCCGGGCAGTGTTGCCTTAATGTCTTCAGAATAATTATGGGGTCTTAGAGCTCAATAGGCATCTCGGGGTAAATATTGGGCTGAACGATCTCCTTTTTTGTTATTCCCTCTTGAGAGTCATGCCTCACCAGCACTTCTACCTCAAAGCCAAGGACCCCTCCATGTACCTTGTAACTCATCTTCCAAACTCGGACAAGGGGTACAAGGACGATATTCTTATTTTCAAGGGATCTTGGCAGAGAGGTGTTGGTCCCGAGTATAATGGCTTGTTATGCCCTTTGGAATGGAGAACGACAAGTACGTCGGTTCTTTCGGGTTTATTATTTTGTTCTCCAGATTTCTCATGTTCATGACTACTTTTTTGTTTGTGCAGATATCCCTGCTCGGGAAACAGCTCCTCCCCCTCGGTCGCTAGTGAACTTTGCCGACCTAGTCACGGTTTGGAGATTTACTGGTGACAACGGGTTCAGCCGGGCTGCCCACATCCTGCTGAATTACACCCCCGGGTATAAGAAATTTTCACAGCTTCCTCAGCCTTTTGAGCCTTCGCGGTGGTCTGAACTCTTCGATCAGGCGGCGAGGCAAGAGGTCGAGGAAAACTTGGAAGAAGACCCTGATCGGGCTTCGGTGGCAGAAGTAGAGGGAGAAGTTGGAGAGCTTGGGGTCAGAGAGGATTTTGTTCCTTCGGACGCCGAGGTGGGGACTTCGGGAGGAGATTTGTGGCCGGACTTCCAAATCCTACAATCTCTAAACTCCGAGGACGCCCTCGAGGTCGCGATGTCCAGCACGCCTCGTATTGACCTGGGGTTCCTGAGGCAGAGGCAAGCTCTTACTGCCGGGAGGGGACGAGGATCGACTGGCGGCGCCCCATCTGCAGGGACCAGTTCCACCCCATCCTCAAGAGTTCTCAGTCGGGGTCAAGTGCGTGACCGGGATCCTCAGGTAGAGGAGGAGAGAAGGGTCAAACATAGGCACGATGGCCTCGGTAGGGGATCTAGGGCATCTTTCGCTTAGCAGCAAAGCGGGAGAGGCCATGGGTTACCCCCTGCTCCTCGGCAACAACAGCAACAGCAACAGCAACGACAACAGCAACAACGGCAGCAGCAGACTCCCCCTTCCCCTCCGCCGACAGTGGAAGCCGCGGAGTGGAATCCCCGAGCCACCGATCACATGAACCGAGTGATCAGGGTCGATGACTCCATTTTGCTGGACCCTCATGTCGCCAATGCAGTGAGTGAGACGCTGCATTTTGAGGCCGACATGGCGGTTCACAGGGGGCGATCAACGAACGTGTTGTTTCGCTCTATCATCCAGAATTCCCTGGTGGTAAGTTCATTTTTGCTTTGGTTTCTTCTCTCTCGCTTTCCATTTTTGTGACACGCTTTTTCCCTTCTTTGCAGGCCACCCAACAGATCTCCATAATAGCTGCGCGGTACCATGGGTCTAGGATGGACCTCCAGCGGGCCCGAGAGCAGAAGGAAGAAGCGGAGGGGGCCCTCGCCAGAGCTATGGAGGACGTAGCTGCCAGGGATTCTACCCTGGTGGGGCAGGCTGCTCAAATCGAATAACTCCTCAAGGATGCCGAGTTAGCTAAGGTTGGCGCTGAAAAACTAAGTGCTGCCCTTGCCGATGCTGAGGGGAGGATCACCGAGCAGACGCGACGGCTCTCTGCGGCGGAGGAGAGGGCGGTTGGCTCAGAGGAAAGCTGTCTGGCTCTCACCTAGGAGCTGGACAGGATTAGGGCCGAGACACTGAACAGGAAGTCGGAGGAGCAACTCCGAGAAGAGTTCGCCGATGACGTGCTCCCTGCTCTTGAGGAAAACAACAAGGAGTTCTTCAAGAAAGGGTGGGACGAGGAGCTCCAGTCTGCTGGAATCCCATCAAACTCTCCGCTCTTCCAGATGCACAAGTACGTGCCCTTTTTGTAAGGGGTAGATTGACTTTTGCAAGCGACAGACTCGAGCCTCCCCCTGAAGGATTCCGGCTGATCAAGTAGAAATCAATAAAGGCAATAAAAACGCCTTTTTGTAAGGGGTAGAAATCGCTACGGATCTCATCCCTTCACTTGAAGGATTCCGGCTGACCTGGTGGCACCGTGCCCCAGTAGCCTTTTACCTCTCTTCGCCAATAGAACCCTTTCCTAAAGCAATCCCACATCGGAAGAGAGTCGTCTTCCCCCCTCGCATATAAGCCCTTGCACTCAAAGGAGGAGGTACCCACTAGGCACCTGATCAGGTTGCTAGTGGGTACCTCATCCTTTGAGTGCAATGACTTATATGCGAGGGGGGAAGACGACTCTCTTCCGATGTGGGATTGCCTTAGGAAAGGGTCCTATTGGCGAAGAGAGGTAAAAGGCTACTGGGACTCGGTGCCGCTAAGTCAGCCGGAATCCTTTAAGTGGAGGGATGAGATCCGTAGCGATTTCTACCCCTTACAGTACCTATCTTTTAAGTCATGTCACTTGATATAAGACTTCATTGAGAAGGCTCCTAATTGTGTCTGTTAAATAAACCAATATAAGTGAAACACAACTTCTTCTCATTAACTCTAAAAGTGTTTAAATAGAACATACAGGGAAGCAGTAGAGAAAAAATAAATAAATACATGATAATTATCCAATCCTACAAATTAGGATCTAAAAGATTTAGATGACAATCAACACTCCCCTCAAGTTGGAGCATGAATATCATGAATGCCTAACTTGCTTAGAAGATTCTGAAACTGGCCACGACCCAAAGGTTTGATGAACAAATCCACTAGGTGCCGTGAAGTAGGCACATGTCTTGTTTGTAGTTCCCCAGGTTGAATTTTCTCGCGAATCAGATGACAGTCCAACTCAATGTGCTTCGTTCTCTCGTGGAAAACTGGGTTGGCTGCTATATGTATGGCAGCTTGGTTGTCACAATATAGAATAACAGGCTGTGAGACTTTAACGTACAGATCATTGAGTAAATAGCAAAGCCAAGTTATCTCACAACTTGTACTAGCCATAGCTCGATATTCGGCTTCAGCTGATGAACGGGAAACAGTGGATTGCTTTTTTGTTTCCAAAAAATCAAAGAATTCCCTAATTTGATGCAGAATCCAGTGGTAGAACGACCTAGCCCAATCAGAATCACTGTAGGCAGTGAGTGTTAAAGTACTCGAACTTGATAATAAAATACCTTGCCCTGGAGAATTTTTGAGGTAGTGAAGAACTCGTAAAGCAGCTTCATGATGTGACTTTCGTGGGGCATGCATAAATTTACTAAGCATATGAATTGAAAAAGCAATATCGGGCCTTGTAATGGTAAGGTAAATGAGTCTACCGACAAGTCGACGATATGCAACATGATTATTCAACAAATCACCCTCTTCATTTGATAATTTTAGGTTCTGCTCCATAGGAAAGTCACTGGACTTTGCGCCAAAGCAAACCTGCATCGGCTACAATGTTTAAGGTGTATTTTCTTTGTGAAATACATATACCTTGATGAGAACGAGCAAGTTCTATGCCGAGAAAATATTTCAAAGGTCCAAGATCCGTTATGCGAAATTGAGCTTGTAGAAAGGCTTTAAATTGACTGATGGCTTGAGGATCATTGCCTGTCACAATGATATCATCCACATATACAAGAATAGCAGTAAAAGATTGACCATGCGTATGAGTAAACAATGAATAATCGGCCTTGGAGGCTTTAAAACCTGCAGTTTGTAAGGCAGAAGATAACTTGGCAAACCAATTACGGGAAGCTTGCTTGAGGCCGTAAATTGACTTTTGCAAGCGACAGACTCGAGCCTCCCCCTGCTTGCCAAGGCTAGGAGGTAGAGACATATAAATATCTTCGGTTAGATCGCCGTGGAGAAAGGCATTGTTGACATCAAGTTGATGAAGGACCAATTACAAATTGCAGCTACAGCCAAAAGACAGTGAACAATGGTCAATTTAGCGATAGGAGCAAAGGTCTCGTGATAATTCAAACCTTCTAGCTGAGTAAAGCCTTTGGCAACTAAATGAGCTTTGTAGCGCTCAACTGTCCCATCAGACTTGTGTTTGGTGCGGTAAACCCATTTGCAACCGACGGGTGTTTTATTTGGAGGCAAAGGAACCAAGGTCCAAGTCTTATTGGCATCAAAGGCGGCAAGTTCAGCGTCCATGGCGTCCCGCCAACGAGGGTCTTGTACTGCGTCTGCAAATGTAGTAGGTTCTGTGGAAGAAGATATGGAAGCTACAAAAGCACGGTGAGACGCAGACAATTTATTATAAGAAACAAAATTGGAAAGAGGAAAACGAGTACCCGAGGAGCGAACTTGCGAAGAAGTTGGCGATTGAGTGGGCGGAAGCGTGGGACAAACATAGTCTTGCAGACGGCAGATGATGCGTACGAGTAGAACGACGGCAGGTCACAATAGGTGACGTTGATATGTCCTTGTCGGTTGGAGCAGACGAACCAGTAGCGGTGGAGTCCTCATCCAAGGCTGGTGTTAGAATAGGTGTGGAAATAGGAGGTGAATGGTCTATTGGAGGTGAAAATAAAGGCCCAGATTGATGAGGGCTATGTGGTGGAGATGAGTGGATAGGGCCAGCAATGGGCTGGAACGTAGGAGTTGAAATATAGGCCCATTAGTGGGTTGAGATAATAGTTCGGGTGGTTCAGGAAGAGAAACAACTCCAACGGGGGTGTTGCAAATGGGGTGTACGACATTCTCATTTGTGGCTTGAAGAGGAAATATTTCTTCATAAAAAATCACATCCCGACCTACAAAAATTTGCTTGGAGTCAAGATCATAGAGACGATATCCTTTTTGGCCAAAGAGATAACCGAGGAAGAGACAACGCCAAACATGACTATCGAATTTATTTTTATGAAAAAGAGTTGTGGCATAGGCTAAGCATCCAAAAACACGAAGATGGTCATAAGTTGCACGCTGATTAAAAAGAACCTCATACGGTGTTTTGCCGGAAAGAACGGGAGTAGGGATGCGATTTATTAAATACGTGGTAGTGAGTACGCAATCACCCCAAAATGACATAGGTAAGGAAGCTTGAAAGCGTAAAGCGCGAGCAACTTCAAGAAGGTGACGATATTTGCGTTCAGCAACACTATTTTGTTGAGGAGTGCCAACGCAACTATGATGGTGAAGCACACCATGATCACGTAAAAAGGAAGTGAACATGTGGGTGAAAAATTCTTTACCATTGTCGGTGCAAAGGCATTTAATTGAACAATTAAATTGGTTTTCAACCATGCTAAAAAAAGATTGTAGCAGGCAACATGCATCAGATTTAAATCGCATTAAAAATACCCAAGTACATCGGGAAAAATCATCGACTATTGTTAAAAAATAATGAGCTCCGTTTAAGGAAGCAAATGACTGTCGACCCCAAATATCACAATGAATAAGTTCAAAGGTTTAATAGTCGTAAGAACACTATTATTAAAACCAAGTCGAAATTGTTTAGCTAAGGGACAAACTTGACAAAACAAGGTGGGATCAAAGGTGATATGAGAATCATCTTGAGCTAATTGTTGAAAACGAGCTCTAGAGGGATGGCCAAGCCGTGTATGCCATATTTGAGGAGAAACACGAGAAGAGGAAGATAATGCACGGGGAGGAGACGAGGAAGATGGTTGCAAGAGATATAAGCTGTCAATTTCCGTACCCATCCCAATCGTCTTCTTCGTTGCAAGGTCCTGAAAGAGACAAAAAGTAGGAAAGAAAGTCATTGAATAATTCAAATCTTTGGTAATTTGATGAACCGATAAAAGATTGACTTTAAATGAGGGGGCATGAAGCACATTATTTAACACAAAATTTGGAGCAATGGTGATAGAGCCACTAGATTGTACCGGAATGGAAATCCCATTTGGCAATTTAATTGGATGTTTTGGACCATGAGATATTTTATTTAGATTTTGAGAGGCAAAAGTCATGTGATCAGTGGCACCCGTATCAATAATCCAAGAAGACGATGTTGAAGAAAAAGAGGCAGCGGAATAATGTTTACCTGCAACATTTGCAAAAGGGTGGGTAATACCTTCATCGACAAGAGCCATGAGACGCTTAATTTGAGCCGGTGTAAGAGATGGAATTGGATTAGAGCCGGATGATGTTGCAGCATTGTTTACGGCTCCTTTTGGATTGTGATTAGGACCGGGCTTATGAAGCCGATGACCTTCTGGATATCCGACAATTTTCCAACATTGATCAATAGTGTGCCCCAAACCCGATAGCCCAAGACTTTTGCAATGAGTGCAAAAGGCCCGTCGCCCTTTGCCATTGTTAGACGTATTGCGTGAATGAGAATTTCCGTCGACCTTTTGCTTTTGAAGTGTCGTGGTGAAATTGCCATGGTGATGATTGAATGAGGAATTGCCACCGCTTGCATTATTTGCCATGGTGGGATGATGATTATCAATTGGAGTGCTGGAATTACGCATGGTTGTATCGCGTCGGGTAGATAGGGCAGCAACCTCCATAGAAGAATTGTGAGAGGCTGTAACATCTCTTTGCTTTTCTTCTTGGGTAATCATAGCAAAAGCTTCATTTACGGATGGCATAGGCTTCATGAGGAGAAGTCCTCGAATAGCGGCATAAGTGGAATTGAGACCCATTAAGAATTTCATAACTTTTTCTTCCTATTCTCGTTCGGCCAAGACTTTAGCCGTTGCACATGTGCATGATAGTGATGGGAGATGAGTGGCCAATTCATCCCAATATCCCTAAAGTTTGTTGTAATAAGCAGATATAGATAAATGATCTTGATGAAGATCATTGATTGATTGACGAATCTGATAAATAAAGATTTTATTGCTTTGCGAGTATCGCTCATGGAGATCTTCCTATGCATCTGAAGCAAAATTTTTACGAAGAACCGAATCTTGAAATTCTTCTGCAACAGAACTGATGATCCAAGAATAGACGATATCATTACAGTGTTGCCATAGGGCCCGCTCATTAGCTGGTGCACTTTCATCAGGCTGTTCTAGTGTACCATCGATGAACCCTAGTTTATTCTTGCCACTCAACGCAAGTTTCATGGCACGGCTCCATGTGGTATAATTGTTCCCAGTATAGATTCGGGGTACAATGGAGGTACCGGGATTGTCGGAATTGTTTAAATAATGGACTATTAGGATTTGTGGCTGAACTCGCCTGTTTGAATGGAGTATTTTCACCCATGATAGAAGATAATCAAGTTGTTGCCGAAAATTGGGAAGCACAACAAAGAGAAAGAAAATCAAGAGACAATCCTAAAATCATAAGAGAGCTCTGATACCATGTTAAATAAACCAATATAAGTGAAAGACTACTTCTTCTCGTTAACTTTGAAAGTGTTTAAATATAATATACAGGGAAATAGGAGAGGAAAAATAAATAAATACATGATAATTATCAAATCCTACAAATTAGGATCTAAAAGATTTAGATGACAATCAACAGTGTCATCGAAAGTTACTCGTCACATGAATGTCTCCTCAAGGAATTTCAACCAACCCAAATAGTTAAGGTCTTTCATTAGATTCAATTTATCAAGGCCTGTAGCCCTAATGGCCTGGGCATGTTTTGTCTTCTAGAGATTCTGGGATTCTGGTGGTAGCGGTTGTTGAATTCAACAACACTCGCATCATTCCGTTTCCAAATGTGAAATCTCTAATTTCGTCCAATCAGTCTTTGTAATGTGAACTATATGATCATCTAAAAGGTCTCGGCAAATTGGCTGTAGAAATGAAGCAATTCCCACCACAGATGGGTACAAGTGTCAAAGCACATGCATTCCTAGGCATTTAATTATTGACAAACGAGACATACGTCACTAATGAACCTCTCTTTCTTCTTCTTTTTTAGCTTCTTCTCGCCTTTGAACTTTATGTGCCTAGAATTACACGAGTAAACCTTACACTTGGGTGGAGTGGAGTTTTTTTGTGAAACTATGATAGAAATCTTTATTTTGATGATAGATGGATCTGGTTGGTGATAATCTATGTAAAGACAACATGACATTCTATCGTTTAAAGTATAAAACAAATGATATTTTCTGAGCCTAAAAGGGGGCCGCAACAAGGTGTTCCCCTATCACCTTATTTGTTTCCAATTTGTGTTCATGATTTTGAAGAAAGCAAAGAATAAAATTTCTTTACATGTTTTTTTCTCTTATCATGGGGCCTTCTTTGTCTCACAAATTTTATTGCGGATGATAGTTTGGTGTTTACAAGAGCTACAATTGATAACGGGTTGGACTACTATGGAATGTCTCAAAGAATATGAAATAGCTTATGGCCAAATAATGAATTTGGCCAAATTTTCAATGACATTTAGCAAAATCGGTGTTTATAGAGGAAGCTGAGAATATGGAGGGAATCTTGCAAACTCCTGTTGTGGATTTTAATGATAAATTCTTCGATTTGGTAGTAGTGGTGGGTAGATCCAAAAAGGAATCATTTGGCTCAACAAGAGAAAGGGTTTTGAGGAAAGCGTAGGGCTGGCTAGAGAAGCTGCTATGTGGGGGTGGGAAAGAAATTTTAACTACGACGGTCCCACAAGCTGTACCAAACAACTTTGTTTTAGAGGGTGAGACCACGAATGACAAATGCCCGAATGCTTTGGGAGGATGGCCACAACTTAGGTGGAGATGGATTTTAATAAAGGCTTCGTGTTATAAATTGCCAAATTCATTGTGTAATGACTAAATTTCATAGTTGGGTCAAAGATGAAAGACAAGAAACTTCCATTGATTGCCTCGGGACAAATTATGTTGTTTAAAATACAAAGAGAAATCGAGATTCTAAATTGTATATGCGTTTAATATTGCTATCCTAGCCAAGCAAGCCGGTTTTCTTAGAGCCCAAATTTGCTACTTTGTAAGTTATACAGGCCAAATAATTTCCTTCTTAACTTTCATGGAAGTTTATTTGGGATCGAATTCTTCTTTATCATGGAGAAGCTTAGTAGCTGCAATAAAGGTTATGGGGGCAAACATTAGGTGGAACATAGGGGTTGACAACAATATTGAAGTGAAGAAAAAAAAAAGGATTCCTAGGTCAAGACCTTTAAAGTCCTTAGTTCCCTTGTAGCGTTAGATGATGAAGCTATAGCGAGATTTGTGCTTGATAAGGACACAGGTTGCTGGAATTAAAATTTTATGAGCTATTATTTTCTGGATTTTGGGTGAAAGCTATCCTCGTTGGCGACAAACATATATGTCATTATAAAAAATCTGGGCATTTTACTATGAAAAGTGCCTATTTTTTGAATCTAGATCGGGAGCATTCATGTGGTCCGAAAAGTTTATCAAACAATATTAAACACTTCGTATAGGAAGTAAATCAAGGATGCTACAAGAAACACATCTCCATGGAAAACTATTTTTTGTACACGATTGTTGTTCTGTGAGGGGGAGAAATGTTGTGGATCTTCTCTCAGATTATGTACGTGGAGCACACACGACACTACCTAGAGGGGGGAGGGGGGAAGGTGAATAGGTTTTTCAAATTAAACGTAAGAACCAATTTTAAACCACCACGACCCCATGAGCCCATGAAAATTAGTGTTGTTAATTTTTAGGGTTAATAACACTTTTGGTTCCTAAAG